TATGTGCTCCCATGTGATCTCCTCACACACCGCACGTCAGCGCTCGTCCGCGATTCCACTCCCAGCACTGCTCCTCAAGAACAGGTCGACTCCACCTCAAAAAATATTGATTGATCAATCTTTAATCAAGAAATGAAAAGATCCCGCTTCTAACCAGTTTTGACAAGCACCACTCGAGAGCCCGTCGATCTGCTCACAATTTCTGGTCGTCCTGCCTCTAATTCTTTATGCAAAATTGCAAATGAACCCCCACTTGACTTACGACCCAACAAACCACGCCCTATTCATATTCCTCCTGAAGACACCGAAGAGCCATAACTCCCTCCTTTCCTAGAAATTCTGGATGTACCCATATCATAATTGCCACAGTTTCCCGAGCTTCCTACCTTCCCTAAATAAGGCCGAGTCTTCCAGCCAACGCAAGCAGAACAAGTGGGGAGTTCATTTGCACGAAGAATTGGAGGCAAGACGAGCGGAAATTGCGAGCAGATCGACGGGCTCGTGAGTGGTGGTTGCCGGAACCGGTTAGAAGCAGGATCTTTTTTTTTTTTTATTAAAGACCAGCTAAGATTTTTTGAGGTGGAGTCGGCCTTTTCTTAAGGAACAACATCGGGAATGGAAGCGCTGGAGTGCGGTGTGCGAGGAGATCACACGGGAGCATGTAGGCTGCGTAGGGCGCGGGTGAATGCTCATGACGTGGGATTGAGACAAGCAGAGTGCAGGCATTGTGCAGGGCTCGGTGCGCGGGTGGATATGCGCAGGGTGTGGTTGGAGTTAGACGACATGAGTGCAAAGCGCGGGCACAGGGATTGAGGCGCTGGGCGGGGGCACGAGCCGCGGGGTGCGGGTGGACGCACAGGGTACGAAAGCATAGGTAGAGCACAAAATTAAAATCAAAACAATTCACCACAAGAGTAGCGGATGCGGAAATTAAATGCGAATGTAAAACAAAGAAAGATCACACCGGATTTATAGTGGTTCGGTGAAACCTTGACCTACGTCCACTCCTCGGAAACATCCTCCGAGTATTGCACTAACTAAGTGTCTCTCCTTTAGCTCCCACAGCTAGGCGGAGAAGCCTTTACAACAGACTCATTTTCACCAACCTTGGTGCGGCAGAGAACCGACTCCTTTTGCTTCCTCCTGAAGCGGGCAGAGAACACGGACCTTTTGCTGAAGTAGATCTCCAAAGGACGAAGGACGAATAACGGAGACGACGACTTGGAACCTTGCTTGGAGCAACATTTGTGAACCCTCTCACAAACTCCCCCTCACAAGTTCCTCTCTCTCTCTCTCTCTCTCTCTCTCTCTCTCTCTCTCTCTCTCTATCTCTCCAAAGGCTCTCTCAGGTCAAGACAACATCACTCAAGGTCTTTTGCATGAGAAAATTCGGGTCCTTTAAATAGAATTTTAAGAACCGACATTATCGTCCAGGACGATATTTCTATCGTCCTGTATGATCAATACAAATTAAGCTCAATCAGCCGGGACGATTTGGGACGATGAGAAGAAAATTGGTTACATGATTACATCGTCCAGGCCGATACCATATCGTCATGGACGATTAGTTCAAATCCGAGGATCATCGTCCTGAACATCGCCCTGAACAGATTCTGGCCGATGTCAATCGTCCAGACCATCGTATCAATCAGCCTTAATTGATTTCCATAATTACCAGATCAATTTAGGCATAATTGTGCTGCATCGTCCAGGCCAATGCTGAGTTCGTCCTGGCTGATGTTTTAAAATAAATAATATCTAAATTGATTATAGCGGCTAATTCTTTCTAATTTGAGCCTATTGTCCTGATCGATACAAGGATTGTCCAGGATGATTTGTTTAATGACGGCTGCCTTAATGAGATGCCTTAATTAGGGTTTTTGTTTTTAATATGATCATTCTGACCGATATGAACATCGTCCAGGCCGATGTACTCAAAATAGAAAAACTCATAAAACCCCTCAAGTGTGTGTGTGCAAGGTTACTTAGCATCAACAACCACTTTTATAATTGACTCAAGAAAAACAAAAACATTACAGACTGACTCAACCTAAATCTACTCAATCTTGAGCTGGTCTTGAGTTGTGTTCGATCTTGTGGACCTGAAAAATTATTAGGCAAGACAGTCGTAGAAAAACATGAATATTTGCTATCATCAAAAGTCTAATCCATAATCTCAGATTCGCAACAACAAATAGAGGCAATAGGTTGTATTAGGGAACATGATTAAGCAATAAAAATTTAGTTTCAGCTCTCTCCCTCTTCTCCGAAGAAGCTCAAGAAGGAAGTGCTTCTTCCTCTCATCCAATATCCTAACACAATATTCAAAAACATTCAAGTATGGCGAGTGACTGCCATTTAATAGTGAAAATCGACATATAGTGTTTTAACCCATCATGAATACCATGTTGATATTAAAACACGCAAAGAAATGTCAGTGAATCAACAAAATGCAAACACCACATTTCATAAACATGATCTCCTCCAAGCTCATGAAAAATTTGAAGCACCATAAGCACTGCCAATACGCATAAGACTCATAAGATTGCAATTGTGCATAAGCTAGAACTTCCATTTTTATTATACAACACCAAATATGGGGAACCTTTTCCCTACTAACAAAGCCCTATATCCCCCATCAAAGGAGTGATTGATTGTCGCCAAGACAACACAAGGTATTGGTAGAGGGCTAGAAATGGTCAAGAGCACATTCAGCATCCTTGATTGGCCATCAACACAATAGCTTAGGACCTCTAATCAAGCTTCATGATGAGCAATTAGGTTAAATTCTCTCCTGATGACAATTTAAGAGCTTTTCTAGGGCAAATTTTGTTGTTGGTGTGCTATGGCAAGCTCAGAAGTGATGAGCAATGCCGAAGTCTGAACCAAAGATTTAGGAACATGGAGAAAATAAATCATGGAAAACAAAAGAACAAATGACTTTGTACCAAATTTGGAATATCATACCCCATAAATAGACTTCAGTCCTAGTCCAAATACCGAAACACTTTGTATCAAACATAATCAAAATAACTGATAGAACCAACATATCAAAGATAAAAATAAATAAAGATAACTTGAATCAAAATAATATAACGAACATAACTCAAGGCAAACATGACAATATTCTATAGATCAGAGGCATCAGTTTTTTCTCCCTTGACAACTTACACCATGGAAAACAAGTTCCTGTTGATCTGCCTCTATATAGAACAAAAAACTATTCAGATTTAGTTTGGAGAATTTTAAAATTAGAGTGAAAAGAACATACAAATTTTGAGACTATTGTTGTTTTGTTGGATGAAAACAAACCCAAAGTAACTTGTTTATGCATTTCAGATTCATTACTAAGTTCATTTTTTGTGTAATCCAAAATCATTGAATTTGGACAATTTTCAATACACCCCATCACCTTTCCTACCTGCAGACCCACTAACCACCTCTGCCACCACCTATTGTATTTAAAAAATGCATGAACTTAAAATGCCTCATACAACAATAACAACATCAAGCCTTTATTCCCCTACGTGGGGTAGGCTACATAAATCCTTTTTTTCTCCATTCTATTTAAAATGTCAAAAAAAAAAAAACATGTTTTATTTACATCCAACCAAACAACTTAATGCATTTCTAAAATATATATTTATTTTATACTTGTTGCGGATTGGAACATTCACGGCGGTAGAGAAATATAAATTTTAACGTCCTAGCTTTGTACGAAGATCCAACACTCAATCAGATAAAAAAAGGGTTGTAACATTCATAAGAGACCAAAGTTTTTAAGTGAAAATCCTGAAAAGAGAAAAAATCACGGGGCATTGCCCAGTTTGAATGAATCCACTAGTATTTGCAGTTGATTACAAATGAGATCCTTCCTTAGGGGGAAGACATTGGCTCAATGTAGTTAATACACATCATATAGAGTGCATTAAATGGTGGGAGTTGGAAGATTTAGTGTTGACATGCTTGTTTGGTCGGTAGAACCATAATCGACGGGCGATGTTGGTCAGAAAGACCATAGTCGGCGACGAAGGAAGTTTGACACGTAGTTGGGTGACGGTGGTAGGAAGGACCATGGTCGACTGGCGATGGAGGTTGGAAATACCGTAGTGGTAGGAATGACTGTAGTCGGCGGGCGACGAAGCTAAAAAAAAACCGTAGTGATCGGAAGGACCATAGTCGGTGGGCGAGAGAGGTTAGAAAAACCATAGTGGTTGGAGGACAATTAATAATCCTTTTTTATTGAGGTATTTAGATAAAATTTGTGAGTTAATTCGCCTTGTCCACATTACTTAATTTAATTTAGAAGATAATAATATTTGACTTAGACAATAAGAACATAATTAAGGATTATTAATTGTGATAAGATAAGCTTAAACATTGTTTCTACCAAATAATTAATCACAAATATGGATTAAGATATTATTATTAAAATAAATTATAATGAGATAATATATTCTGATTTAATTATGCATATTAAATTAGTTTTATTGTTTAATTAATGTAATTCAATAAAAAAATTTAAGGCTCTCCAAAGTCCAGCATCTTTCAAAAAATCCAACCACCACAAACAAAAAAAGAAAACTCAAAAACACCAAAAAAAATATATTCCAATTTGGCATCATCTTCATGAAGGAATTAAGCAAGCTTTAGCTTAAATTCCGACAAATGGAAATTTGGAGATTTTAAATCCGAATATTTCAAAAAATCTCGCTATTAATTATGTCAGCGACCTTTTAAATCCCACCCTATCTCGGTTTTAACGGAATTATTTTTTTTTCCCTCGGAAATCTTAAATTCTAAAACAAATAGCCAACTAATTTATCAGGGTTTAAGAACATTTAACAGTTCTCACGTTTTAATACTCTCAAGGTTTACTAAACCCACTTACATCAAAACTGCGTGAGAACCTAATGGCTTTAGAAAATCTGTTTGGCGTAATTTGAGTTACAACTTGCTCAAAACCTAACAAACAGCTCCTTAATCTCCCGGACAAGACCTAATATCTTAATGGCGTTGTATCTAAAGCTGTAATTAAAAGGTCGATTTACAAAAAAACAGCAACTTTTAAGCAAAACATGTGCTGATTGGCCTGATAAGTTCATATATACAGAACTAATGAGAAAAATTATACCATAAATAACTGTTTGTTTTACAAGAGTAAAAACCTGTGTGGATCTCCAGTGCAGACGCAGCTTACCTTACCGTGCAGAGATGGAGAGATTTCGAACCTAATACATCCTTTATTTGGGGCTTGGTATCGGCATGCCCGGCGAGGTCGGAAAATGTAAAGAGGGCGCTAACATTAACTGGTAATAAGCAGCCGTCTGAGGTGATGGAGCACAGCCAAAAGAAAGCGGCGACAATGGAAGCAGCTGTGGCTGCGCCACTCCTGGTGGTGACGGTGCAAGCAGAGGCTGCCCACTGTGAAGGCGTCGCATGTACGCGGAGATCGGCGACTCCGCCGCCATGCTTACCGTCGGAAATGGGGGCAGCGGAGAGAGCGGAGGCCGCACCCAACCATCACCGACGAGAGGAGGCGCAGCCGGAATCGGGGGAGGATGGTGAGGAAGAAGCTGCGCTAGTGGAGGGGGGCGAATACGGTGGAGACGGGAAAGGGGCTGGGGAGCGGCTGAGGCGCGAGGCTGCTGCTGCGGTGGAGATGTCGCCATCACGGCAGGCGGAGGCGGCGGCGGCGGGGAAGGACGGTTGGAAAGGTGCGCCGGCGAGCCGGTGAGCTTCTGGACGACGTCACGGAAGTCGTTTTTGTCGATGTTGTAGACGGGAGGTTGGGATTGCTGCTGCTGCGGGCCAGTGCTTCCGCATACGGAGCTGATGCCGGAAGACGGAGGCGGAGGAGGACGGATAAGATTAGGGCTAGGGTTAGGGTTTTTGCAGATGGGCTTCGAAATCTTATAAGAAGACTTGTTGAGGACACGGAAGGAGTTGGCTATGTAGTTGGAGCTGTAGTTGGTCGCCGATGGCGCGCTGCCGATATTGCTACTATTGCTATTATCGGAGCTGAAACTGTTGACGGCGGCCTCAGAGGTGGTGGCGGTGGCAGAGGAGGAAGAAGTTGAGTTAGTTGCTGTGGCTGACCGGCAGATTTTCTCCATAATCAATACAGAAAGCAACTTCTTGTCTCTTTTTTTTCCCTCTTTTGCGGCAGGCTATGAAGCTTGAAGAGAAAAGGATTTTTGTTTGGGGCTTCTTATTGCTCTAGAAGCCGCCACAGTACGAGAGAGAGAGAGAGAGAGAGAGAGAGAGAGTTGCTGGCTGCTTGCAGTTCAGTGGTAAGAGATGAGATGACAGTGCAGAAAAGTTGATCTAGAAACTGAGAAGCTGATGATGAAGCTGGAGCTGAAGATGAAGACGAAGAGTGGAGTAAATATTTTATAGCCGTATGTTACAACTCCAGATGTTGCTATGCACACAGAATAAAGTTTTCTAAATAAATAAATTTATGTATAAAATAAATTTATGCATAAAATAAACTTTTAAGCCTACTGGATTGTCAAAATGTGTAATTTACTAATTTGTTTTATTTTATAAATATTTGCCTCGTTATCATTGATGTGCCAAACATTATATATTTAAATTTTTTATTATATTTGAAATTTTATTTATAATGTTAATCATATATGAAAAAGATATAATTTTGTTTCAATTTTAAAATAACTATTTTAACTTTTATTTGGTTCATTTTTTATGGAATATGATCTATTTAATTTGAATCGGCTCAAAATTAATTATTTTTAAATAAATTAATATTATTTATATTTTAGATAAAATTTATAAATTTAAGTATAAAAAAAAAATAGATATTACATAGATAAATAAAACAAAAAAATAAAACAAAATAATGATAAAATACTTGTCGACTAATAAGTGCAGAGGAGCACATGGCAGTTGGAAGCTAAAATTAAAAACTAAAAAGCCAAACAAAATGGGACGAGTTTGGTCTTTTGATTTTCCTGAGGAACATTTTATTTTGAAATTGATTTCTGGGCTGAAAAAGAAATTCGACTGTGCATACCAATTATGATTTTGAATAATTTGTTACTATTTCCCAACCAAAAAAAAATGCTACTGTTTTTTACTTTTTTAACTAGTTGGAGGAAAGTTAAAGCTTCAGTATTTTTTCTTTATTGAAGAAAGAGAATGCAACGAATTTTTATTGGGTTTTGTAGTCGGTCCGTCTTAGCGTACAATCAGTGCTTTCACAAAATACTTTTTTTTTTTTGGGAGAACCCGGGGCTTAAAGCCCATGTATTAATAATAAAAGTAGCAAATTACATATAAACCTGTGAAATGAAAACTAAGAAATAACTAAACAAAAATAAACAAAGACAGCAGCAAGAAGAAAATAGGACAAAAGGCAAAAAATAGACTCAGAATGTAAGCACAGTCTCATTCATCATGCATAATCTGTATAAAGATAGATGGAGTCCAAGCTGTTGCACTGGTTGCCCGAAAAACCAACACCCGCATTAGTTAGATTGACCGTCGCAGCACATCCGGCCTGCCCATAAAGAATCCCAAAAACGAGCAAGGTTGCCACACAGGCCCTCCATTGCTCGGAGAGACTGGCTTTGCCTCACAAAATACTTCGATACGTCAATCTTGATGAGGAGCTTTATTATTCTCTTTCTTCTAAAATAAAATAAAATTTTCTTATTGTGTCCTCATGACCGTAGAAAATTATAAAGTTTAACATCTTAATTTTATATGAAAATTCACCACACAATCAATTAAAAGAGATAATGTAGCGTTCATAAGAGACACCGGAATTTTTAGGTAAAAACTACAATCTTTTCGACCATCGTCACCCTATTACTATTTTTCCTATCTTTGTCACCCGCCAACTATGATCTTTCCAATCAAACAAATATGTCAATATTGATTCTTTTAGTTTACATCATATATGCACTTTATATAATGAATATTTGCTACATCAAGCCAATGTCTTCCCCTCAAGGAAGTGTCTCATTTGTAATGGTCTGCAAACATTAATAGATTCATTCAAACTGGGCAAGACCCCATGATTTTTCTACATTTTTAGGGATTTCCATGTAAAATTCTGGCGTCTCTTATAATGTTACACCATCTTTTTTATCTGATTATGTGTTGGATCTTCATACGCTGCTAAGATGTTAAACTTTACATTTCTCTATCGCCACGAATATTTCAAGAGAACAAATTTAACAAAAATATAACATAAAAGAAATTTATTCAAAATTAAGAAACTTTTATAAAAATTTAAGCACAACAAAAGTAATAAAATTGAGGACCGACAAAAAAAGAAATGAAGAGTCCTATTCTTAATTTTAGAAGAGTGAATTTGGGTGTCATATGCATAGCTTATCTTATTTTGTTAATTGAGAGCTTTGATAATTATAAATTTAAAATTTCATATATATATATATCGAAAGCCGGAGGAGGAGGAAGGAGGGAGAGAGCAAAACCAGCGCCCTGGCGGCGGCGAGAAGAAACCCTAGCAGAGCCCTCTATTCGAAGCTGATAATTTATAATAATTTAATTATATTATTTAAGATTTAATTATATTTGTCAAATAATTTAATTAAATTTATAAATGGACTCCTGCTTTATATACGAAGAGGACCCTTATTAAAATATTGAAGAGAGCTCAAAGATTTTAAAAATTCTCGAGCTCCACCCAAGTACCATCACTATCACTATCAGAACACCACTTAATTGCTATTGTTGGACCACCACGATATTATTAAACTACTGTTATTCAGCCACAACCATTTGATCGTCTTTAATCTCATACTGATTTTGTAATATTATCTATTAATTAATTCTCTATATTCATATAGTTTTGTTATCTCTAAATTAAGGGGCGAGCAAACCTTTATAACTAACAATGATATTGCTTTTAAATCACCACGGCTATGTGTTTTTTTTTTTTTTTAAAGACTTTTGGTGTAAAAATTCTAATGCCATCAATCATCTTCTCATTTATCTATTTAAATAATAGATGTTATTAAAAAATTAGTACACAAAAATTTCTTATGGTACTATCATAAATTATCTCCCTTAAGATTTTTTTAGCAATCTTAAACCCCGAGCTTAACTTTATAATTCTATTAGTGCCTACGGTCATCTCTGTAAATGGGCGAATTATTACGTCCGGTGACCGGACGTCCGGACTCCCAATTCAGATGTGCCATGTCACCCGAATGCATTGGGTCCCAATGTATTTTGATGACGTGGCGCATCTGAATTGATGTCCGGACGAATCCGGACACCGGACGTAATAATTTGCCCTGCAAATGATAATGGTGGGGTGGGGTCATCTGCTCCAATTATTTATTTGGTTTTATGATCGCATTTGATGCAATCAATTTTGGCTCAGCCATTTTTGAGCAATCATTTGAATCATCACTATGACGCTCGCATTGGTTAGTGGGGGCTCGGACCTGACATGGCACGATCATGATTGTCGGATCAGAATTTACCATTTATCACGATTCCTATATTCAAATGGCCGTCACATTGGACTCTATAAGGCGTTGAGCATCCATGTTTCAATAAAAAATAAAATATATGTGATATTTTAAAATTTATTAGTTACAGTAAAGTTATTATGCAACTAATTTTAGGTTTCGTTTTCCACGTTTTTTTTTTAATTTTTTAAGGAAATTTTTTTAATTTATATTAAAAAATTGCTTTAAGAAATATTATAAAAGTTGCCCCAAACGAAACCTTAATCCGTTGGAAAGAGATATTGAATTTAAATCTTATATATAAAATATGTGTAAATTTATCTTAATTGATTTAAATATTTTTAAAAAAGTGAAATCATCCGTTATAACTAATATGCACGACTATGTATGTTCTAATATTTTTTGATAGACTAGCAATATTCAAACACAAAATTTTTAAAAAAAATTCATATATAATATATATAGAAAAAAAAAATATATTATAATATTAAAAATTATAATATAAACATTTTTTATCTGAAATTATAATTCATATATTTAATATATAATTCATATATTTAATTTATTAAGAAAGTAATACTAAACATTCATTGGGACTAAAATATCCCATTTTTTTAATAATATAGTTTTTGTTTAAGTTAACCACTGCTGATATTGATTTTAAAAAATATGAAATAAGCGTGGATAAAAACTTGAATAAGGTTACTCAAATTTTTTTAGAAACCTATTTGAGTCTCATTCAAACCCTTTACTTAGAGATAGCTTCAAATAGAGTTCAATATTGACTCTAACAATAATCAATTAAAATTTAAATATGATTAAAAAAGATTCTAACATGATTCAGACAAGATTCAAGACTTGTAAAATTTTAATTTATTTTCTTATAACCCCACGGATGCATATTATTTTGACATTCTCTATGGGCTACATAAGCTATGTGGACTTTTCTATTGTTTGAGGGGTATCAATATTTGACACGACCTGAAAATTTGATTCGTTTCCGATCCAAAAATTTTGTGTTAGGGTCAACTCGAACCCAAAATGGGTCGGGTTCGGATTTACCAAATCGATCGTTTTAAAAACCAGGTCGGATTTAGGTTGACCTAGTAACTCGAAATTGACTCATTTTGATCTGGAAATCCGAGATTGACCCATTTTTTATCTGAAAATTGGAAATTGACTCATTTTTAACCCGAAAACTAACAATTTTTTACCCATCCCGGGTCATTCAGGTCGGGTTAACCAGACCCGAATCGGGTCAGATTCAGGCCCAAAAAACTAACCCATTTTAAAAAATTAGTCAGGTTTTAATTGACCCAAAAAGCGCTGAATCATTTTTCAGATTCGGGTCGAATCTGATCCGCGACCCGAAATTTACATAATATTAATACGATTCTCTATTTGCTTGTTGTTTCTCCTGATATGGGTCTCCAAGATGGCTACCATTCCCCGTCAAAAGTGACGTCTCCAGAGCTTCGAAAGATCTCTTTGCTCCCATCCCCATTCTCTCTATCTCTCTCCTCGAATCAGCTGCTCGACGAATTGCCGATTGTTGTTCCAGATCAATTTCAATCAAGTGGAGGCAAATAGCAAGAGTCAACGAGGAGGAAGAACGATCAAGAAAGGGAGGGAGATGTGGGTATTCTATTCGATATCGCTGCCGCTAACCCTGGGCATGATTGCGGTGACGCTGCGCTACTTCGCTGGACCGGACGTCCCACGATACGTGCTCTTCACAGTTGGATATACGTGGTTCTGCTCTCTCTCCTTCATCATCTTAGTTCCCGCCGACATTTGGGCTGTACGATTCCTTATCCCCCTTCATTTCCTTCGATCCTTCTCCTCTTTTATGGTTTTCTAGGCGATTGTTTCTCGATATTTTGCTGGGGTTTTGCCAGTTGTAACTTGTTCGGATTCAATTTTGTCATTGGAATTGCACCAGTAGCTTACAGGTATGGGCTATGCTCTAGAGATTTGAGAGGGAAGCGAATCGAGAAATGCTGTCAGTTCTATAATGGTTTGTTTGATTGAGAATTATATGATTCTAGAGGGAAGATCTAGGTACACGATAAGAGATATTTGGTTAAAAAATATGGAATGAGGACATATGATTCGATATTCCCAGGCACGATCATGGTTCCTTTTTTTATAGGCATATGACGATGTCAATGACATAAAACGAGTTATAGAAAATAGTAAGAAATGCACATTAATTGTGTCGATGTAATATCTCGGAACGAGTAAGACAAATTGTGAGCCATTTGTTAGGAGAGAATTGTGAGGAAGTTTCAAGAAGAGAGCAAATACCCTTGATGAATTCTCCTAACCAGAACCTCTACTAGTGGAGTGATTATTCCGTCAGGTTACCGAATGCATCTGGAAACCAATAACAAAACGCCACGTCACTAAAGTGCTCGGTACCGTGCTCGGTACAACGCCCTCGGTACACTCGGTATGCTCGGTGTTGCTCGGTATTTTCACCGGACTTAATAAAAATTCCTACTAGTGGGCTTTGATGAGAACTTTTACTTAGTGGGTGAGAGCACCCTGGATGAGTAGGAGTGTTTGTCAGGAAGAAAGTCCTTGTCGTGTTGGCAACTAAATGTTTGATAATTAAGGTCTAATTAGGCTGTGTCAATCTAAACGATTTGTCAAGCCTTAAATCTTGGGTGAGCAGGAGGCAATATGCAACTCAAGGTTTTGAACAACTTCTAGGGAACTTCTAGGCTTGATTAGTTAAACCTATTCAGAGCCAATGAGTTGTAGTGCCCATTTAGAGCTTAACAATTGATTTAATGAACTATACTAAGAGGAATGTGATGGTACAATAGTTTCTTGATTACATCGAAGAAGTTCTGATAATAATTTATTCACTAGAGGATGTAACTTGGTGTATGCTTTTTGCTAATGATATTCATCTTATTGATAAGACTAGAGAGGGAGTTGAAGGTAAACTTTAATTATGGAGGTCAACCTTAGAGTTTAAAGGTTTTCGCTTGATAGATCTAAAATTGAATATATTGAGTGTAATTTTAGTAGTAATAGACCTAGTGAGGGGATTGTGACTTTGAGCGATCAAGTTATTAATAAGAGTACACATTTTAGATATCTTGGATCTATTGTTCAAAGCGATGGTGAAATAGATGGGGATATTATCAACATAAGTTAAGTTGGATGGTTGAAGTGGAGGAATGCATCTGGCTTGTTGTGTGATAGAAAAGTCCCCCTCAAACTTAAGGGAAAATTCTATAAGATGGTGGTGAGACCTACAATGCTTTATGGTGTCAAATGTTGGCCATTAAAAGAGAAACATAATACAAAGTTAAATGTTGCAGAGATGAGGATGTTCATGTGGATGAGTGGCTTTATCCTTAGAGATAGGATACAAAATGAGCATATACATGAAAAGGTTGGAGTAGCTTCAGTGGAAGATAAAATTAGAGAGAGTCACCTTAGATGGTTTGGTCACATAAAACGATAGTTTCCGATGACCCGGTCAGGAAAGTAGAGGTATTAGATTTGACTTATGTTAAGAAAGGTGGAGGTAGACCTTAAAAGACTTGGTTAGGAAATATTAAAAATGATCTTTCATTATTAGATTTAAACGAGAATTGGACTTTTAATAGGACACAATTGAGAAAAAGGATTCATGTAGCCGACCCCACGTAGTGGGACGAAGGCTTAATGATGATATTGTTGTTGTTGTACCCAAATAGTTTGTTAAAGGATGACATAATAACTTTCTATTGAACTATAAAATAACAAACTTATATATATATATATATATATATTACACAAGATATAAAGTGGTAAATGATAAATTGCATGAAATAAAAATAAAATCCAAATATTACAAGGGCAAAATAACATAAAATATAAGAATTGCATAAAAGTCTCATATAATAGCAAATTCAGCTCCAAATTCCTTCTTTTTCAGTACTTTACTCATCCATATTTAATTATTAAAGAAAGCTGAAATTGTTGACAACAACTCATAAATCATATGCACTGTCATCACTGAAGGTGCCTTTATTTGAGTCATCATTATAAGAAATTGGTCTCTCCCTTGCCTCTTCCTGTAGTGTCCAATGCCTCCCAATATGCTTTTTCATTTATTTTAATTATCTTTCTCTTTTATAAATATTTATTATCAACATAAAGATGAGAGTAATACGCCAAAATTTTTAGAGGAGGTGGTGGTGGTGTGCATCTTTCAAGTGATCATTTATGGCGGCTACGATAATGGTGGCTGCGGCGAAGACGGCGGGTTGGAGGTCTAAGCAGTTGAGAGGAAGTTGGTGTGGCTTAGGGATGCATGAAGGCGTGATTTGTTGAGGGCTTTGGTTTAGAATTTAGGTAAGTTTTAATAAAAAAAAGTAAATAGGGTGAGGTGTTACCCTAAAAAAAAGTAAATGTGTAAGCCTCTAGACTATGTTTACTAGAATTGAGTTAAGGCGGGCATCAAGGTGAGTCTTATATTTCTTAATTTTAAACAATGGGTTTGACTAGGACTTGCCGATTTGGGGTTCATGCTGAGCAATCCTTCGAAAGTAGGGACACAGACCATTCAAGGCCTTGAGCAAAGCTAGTTCAGATTCAGTGAGTTGTAGAACCTTATTCTTCCAGCTTAACAATTGCTTGATCAACTAGACCCAAATGTACATGTATGTACAAACTTGTTGGTGGGGTTTTTGATGGATGAGAGATCATCTATTTCATCCTTGAGCATGGTTCTGACTTTTGAGGACAATGAGTTTTGCTTTCGACAAATATTCTTATCTTTAAATTGAGGGAAATTATGCTCATTTACCCTATGATTACATTAACTTGTTGGTTTGCCCTATCCCCTCTTAACTTAAACTTAAGGTTGGAGGAGCCAATTTAAATTATTTTAGCAATTTTTATGCTATGTGGTCAATGGAATTGCCAAGATTGAGTTTCCTATGATCTCTTAGGGTGTAATATGTTTATATGGAAAGATTATTAATTCGTTGTGATATGTATAGGAACGTTGAAGATGATCATTTAACTTAATGTTTGATTATGCAATGCTTTATTTAATGAGCCATACAGGAATATGGTTCCTATATTGTTAAATGCTGCAGGTTTAGTTTTAACTTTTAATGCATTTCAGTTGTATGTGTTATTGCCTCGTTTGTTTTTGTTATGTTTTTATGCTTGGTGCATAAAGCACTACGTGTATTTTAAGTAGTCTTCAAATGCTTAAAACGTAACTCTAGCATTTTTTGCTGCAATTGATAACGCATTATCCAATGAGGAGGTTTGGTTATATGGTGAAGGATATGAATTTACACAGCTCTTATTGGAATCTTTATTCCTCAAGTCTAAAGTATCAATCTTCACTTGACCTTCCTATACGTAGTCATGAGCAATCTTCACAAGTTTATCTTTCCTGTAACATGTATTTATTCCTATAATTTTGTAGTCTGGATTGTCACTGATTTCTGTTATTGAATGTTGGTTAGCAGATTGGTTTCTCTTTTTTTTTGTATAATGTATAGTTATAAACGGAAACTATTCATAGAAATGAGCTGTTAATAATGAGGCTCTTTTTTAACCACAACAGATTCTTGACGAAAAAAGTATATTTGAAACTAGGATGGTGATCCGGGAAGGATTATTAAGCTTAAATTGATGAATACCAACCATATTTTCTTATTGATTTAGCATGGTTTTCACCTGCTTGTTTGTATTTTTTCACTAGAATATTGCTCTGATTAAACAATACGGTTGAGCAAATGCGTGGAAACTAATCAACAATGAAAGTGCACAATTCTGTTAGTGAAGCAGATGAATTAATGGTTGATATACCATTCTTTTATTTAAAAGCTGCATCTGGGCAGATTGTGGATGTTGTTTGATAGGCGCCAAATGAAATTAAAAATTTTAAATAAATAGAAGTTTTAATATAATTTTAGAAGGAGAAAAGGACTAAAATAGTCCATTGACTCTTATGAAGGACCAAAATGGTCCCCAACTCTTTTGGATCAAATGAAGGACCAACCATCGGACTATTTTGATTATTCTTTAAGGAGTTGTGGAATCAAAATAGTCATTTAATATATTGGAGATTATTTTGATCTTTCATAAAAAGTCAGAGTCATTTTGGTTCTTTTCCATTTGAGAACATTCCATTTTTATACTGCAAGGAGTGTTGGAGAAGTTTTTGCCACATGCCTGGAGCTCCGAGTGACCAATTATTAGCCATGGTGTCGGTCTAGACATTGTAACCCTCTAGTCCTTCAGCAGTGTTTATGTTTCATTGCTTGCGGTTGCATTCTATTGGCATATAAATACTAGCATGAGTTATTTGCTGGAATAGCAAAATGTATGTAATTTCTCCCATCATGTAATAGCAACATTATTGCTACACAATACTTTTCGTTTTTGAATATTTCCTGCATATTATGCATGCTAAGCATACTTTTTTTTAATGTTTGGAAAACTCTGGTTTGAACTCCATTGGAAATTTTGTTATTGTTTTCTCTTTCACTTAACCACACGCGTCTATTTTTTAGATTGATTTGATGTTCATTCATACAGGCATTGATTGGGCATGATAACGGAGGCATTGCTTTCTTCTGGAGTTGGTCATATTGGAGTACCTTTGCTTTGACTTGGTATGTTAATTAGTTGGGCGTTATAATTCAGATCAAAAGAAGTATTTTGATATATATCTTAGTTGTGTAACTGAAGAGTTTTTTACAACCTTTCTTAATAGAGGGAAAGAAAATAAAAATATGAAAAAAGAAAGCAGTGTGCAAGGCAGACGATTCCTGCCATTATCCTTTATGGTTTTAATTTAGATTCACCCATTGTTGACATGGGCGTGCTTTGTTTAGTATAATTCTTTTTGTCTTGGTTAATTGAGTTTTTTCTTCTAAATAGAGGATGCATTATTGTGGTATTTTTTGGAATATTTTAGGAAAAATTACCATTTGCATTATTTTTATAAGTGCTCAATACTCTATTAACTTTTCAGAGATAGCAAATTGAAAAATTCTAGAATGAATTATATTATGAAGAACCCTTTGAAAATTTACATATATTTTTGAATGCATCGAGCTGACGTGTCTGTATGGTCATATTGCATCCTTAAAAGTTAAAAGTTTTGTTTTCCCTGCTTTTGTTATGAATGAGAAAATCATTTTTCTTAGATCAAGCAAAAGCAATTAATAATAAACAAATGGAAAATATTCTCATTGCATCAACCATCAGAGAGGCATTGTGGCATAAAAGAGTTCACACGGTATTGAATATCGGGCCTGTTATCGTGAGTTGAGGAGAGGAAATACCCTTGTGAGGTATTCATAGGTGACTCCTAATCTGGAAGACGAGGGGTTTTGTCACCATGAGTTCTGTTTAGACATGGTATGGGATGGATATTAGTTTCAAAGAAGAATTTAACAAATTCAATTTATTTTTATAGATGTTGACCTCCACGTATACTCCACAACCCAATTTGATTGAATACAACAAACAATGGATGCATCATCTTGCAAGACTGGCTTCAAATGCATCACATGCATCGAAAGTGCTTAAACATAACCCATTTCGTAAAGTGGTTTGTGATGATGCATTTGAAGCACTATAAATATCCCAAAAAGACCCATTGCATTACAATATTGCCATATAACAAAGACAACGACCAATACACACAAAGTCATGCAAGTCCAGCTCCAAATGGGTCGCTTAAATTAAAATGCCACAACCGTCATCTATTTTGTGTAGGGGTGTCAATAAAAGACCAGACTAAAATACAACCTAAAAAATCTAGGTTCAGGTTGACCCGTTTAATAAGCGGGTCTGATTTAGATTTTATGTTTCGACCCTGTAATTATTGGGTCAGATTTGGGTCGACCCACCAACTCGAAAGTGATCCAGTTTTGACCCGTGAATTGCGAATTAGAAAAATGAGAATCTATCATAGTCCGCTGCAAAATAGAGAATACAGAATGTGATTCATCTTTCCTCCATGAGAGTCACTCTTGCTGCTTCACTCTCACATGCGCTGCCAGCCTCTATTCTAGGTTTTTGCCTTCTATATTTACGCCTTTGACCACAACCACTCTTGCCTTGCTCGATGCCTTGACATCACTCTCGATGCTCCTTCTCCCTTCTCTATCCTCGCTCGATTGTCATTTGATGGCCGACGCTCCTCTATCCTCGCTCGACATCGCCTCGACATTTATCCTAATTGATGTCAGCAAGAGTGCAAGACGCTGACACTTTTGACCTATTATCGAGGCTTTTTTCTCTAAATGGATTATCAGGTCGGGTTGGGTCAACTGGGTTGCGGGCATGGCAGGTTCGGGTTCATGTTTTAACCTGTTTCAAAGTGGGTCAATTTTGAGTCAGACCGGAAATCCAACCTAATAACCCTTTTTGACTCCCCTAGATTTGCGAAATGGACTGTGCTGACTTGTTTGGAATGTTCTAAACACTTCAAGTAAACACCCATCTTGTCCACACTTCGCACAAAAACAAAATGCAAAATTTATTCATGTGAGAGGCTATCACATGAAATTTGAGATGCATGAATAACGCAAAATTACTTGAGAATGTCAACCCACATTTTAATTTTATTTATTTTAAAAAGAAACTAATATAAAAAATAAAATGCGGTGAATCCCCAAAATCATGCTTATCCTTTGCATTTTCCATCCCATCACTACGTGAGGTTTTGTCTGTTTTCTCATCCTATATGGTGCAATTAAAATTTCATTTTATAATCTAAATCTCCCTTGCTTTGTCTCTCTCCCCGTCTCTTTCAATTTCCCCCTTCGATTTCCCATATCATGTGATCCACTCCTAGTCAGCATTGCAACGACATGAGGTCCCGTCCTACTCCCTCTCAATCACACATTTTTTCCTCTCTTTGCCAACCCTCATAGCTCCCTCTCTTGCAAGTTCCCGCCAATCTCTCCTTCACCCACTCACATGCCCTATGCTTGTTATAATCTTTTCAAACCTCAACTGATGAATTCCCTCATGTATGAGCTCGACAACTCTAGTCCAACATTCTAGTCTCCATCCATCAGTTAAACCAAGTCTCCCATCCAACAAGATGCTGTCGACCTTAGCTTCAGCCAATTTCTACTAGCATGCACACCTCAAAATATTGTTTGCTGCTTCCAAAACTCAAATGATCTCTCCCAGTGCTGAAATTGACGAACTCCAACACTGACAAAAATCCAACTCTTTTCTGCTCTCTCTCTTGCTTATGTTCTCACGAACTTTTCTCCTCCTTCAACCTGCAAGCTCCCCTTTCAACCCTAAACACTGTCGAATCTCGCTATCTAACCAGCTTGACGGTGAATTCTTCTGAATAGCTGCACCTTATTATAAATTCTAGTGAAAATCTCAAACACAAATCCACCTTATAGCTCACCATCTTGTTCTCTCCTTCTTCTGGTCACCACCTTCAAACCACCAATAGTCTCAACTCTGTTGAACTCCACTGACATCCCTTAACACCCTCCCTTTCTCATTAACTATCTCTCTTTCCCTCTATCTATCTCTAAAAGAGGAGAAAGAAAGGAAAAAAAAAAGGAAAATGAAAGAAAGAATAGAACTTTCTTTGCATATAAATTCTTATCGCAAACTCCTTGTTGTCGTCGTCGTTACCACCTCTTGCATGCATGAAACTTAAAGTGGGCTAAAAAACTTTCTTATGGGCAAAATTATAACTCCCTTACTTCCACTGTACATGCAAGATTTAATGAGAGCTATTGACTAAATGAACTTTAATGGTGAAAATGAGCAATCAATCCCTCTTATCTGTAGTAAGAAAAAATGGTTCGTTGTGGGGCTCGCCACATAAAAATAACACATATATATATTGACAAATATATGACATCTTGAAACACAATAGATTCACAACGTGGGCTTGCAAGAAGGCATAATTTGAATGTTAAAACTCAAAATAAAACACTAAACACTACTTAATGATAGAATACTAGCGCAAACGATTGAATTCATGTAATTTTAAATTCTCTAAAAATATCACGAGGTGGACTCAAACTTAATCACAATGCCTTCAAAATTTTGCAGGCACAAAAAAAACATGTACCTTTAAAAGACTTGAAATACATCCATACGCTCTCCGGCAATCTTACAAAATATTTAAACTTAAAAGTCCAAGATTGATGTGCATAGTAAAAGCAAGATAAATCATGCAACTGTTTTGAAAAAAAATCATGTGATCATTTTGAATTTCTTACAAGCTCTCTTTTCAAGATCGAAATCATCTGTATGTTGAATGGCGCTTTTCGAGAGATCCATCTTGCATGTAGGACAGGGTTTTAAGTCTCTCATTTCAAATCAAGTCCTTGTCCTCATAATGACTGGAGTGAACAAAGCTTGAGATTTGCGCAAACATCGTCACAATAAGCTTAATAAACTTAAAACGATGATATATTTTGTTTTACGTTTCCATCAGGCCTTCAATGCCTTTGACATCAGAAGATTTATCTTCAAAGATGCAAACTCTTGCAGCAATTATGCTGACAAAGTAGTTTGTAAGTGCAATATATAGATTCGATCCTCTGCATACTGGGGTAGGGTTCATATGTAAATTACAAACCTGATTGATTAGGTCAAAAGCAATAAAAATAAAATATTAAAAAACCATATGATGGGCATGTTTATCTCACATCATAAATGGAGTGGTCTATTTTGAAAATCATGCTCTCAATTTCAAATGCAAATGCTTCAAGCAATTTACCCCTTTGATGGGCATGACTATTGTTCATCCTAATTGGAGAGATTAACTATCAAAATCTAATTCTTGAAATATAGAGAAAAATGTTTCAAACATCCTACCTCGATAATGATTTTGTTGACATAAATTCTCAAATGGAGGGGATGCTATTATAAAATACCCTTGAATGCCAAAACAAACAACTTTGGGCCCAAATTTCCTTAAAAAGTATAATTTTAAAGAACATGCAAAACACAAACGTATGCATGCAAATGATTGATTGTTGAAAGCTTAAAACAACAATCCATATATCCTCCACAATAGTTTGTCGAGGATGATACATTTATGATAATCTAAGGTTACGAAAAGTCAATATCATATCAAGTATACCTCTATGGTTGTCACTCTCGAAGATCCCATGCTAGTAAGGGCATGACACGTGTTCTCTAACGTGATGGTTTTGCCACTAAATAGCATCGTAATTATACGGTCATATTGGGGCCCTCTGAGTAGATGGTTCACTGTAGAATGACAACATTAAATTACAATCACAGGTAAAGTGATGAGGACATCGGAGATCAACGGCTACGATTTTTTTTTAGTTATTTATTTATATGTTTTTGTACTAGTTTATTTTATATTGTTGTTTTTCCCTTTTTACCCTTATGGGTGGTCATGTAGTGTTGTAGCCCGAAGGGCATTTTAGTCTTTGTTATTTTTCTTTTCATGAGGCCTATTTATAGGCTAGCTTTCTTGTATTGAGGTTATTGTCTTTTATTTTCCCTTCTTGTATTTGTCTATTTAAATCCCTCCTCTTCTTGGAGAAGGGCTAATGAAAATTGAAATGAAATTTGTGTTTTATTTTTCTACTTCTTCTTGCATGAGGGCTTGAGAAGGGAGAGAGCTCAAGGAGAGCAAATCGCAAGGCCCACCAGTCGTTGGAAGAGTCCGCGGCTCGTGGTTAGGTTTTCTATCTTCTCCTTCGTATTCACCTCCATCATCCTTCTCTTCCACCACAAGAAAATCTCTTCCCAACTCTAGTTGCGGCCGCCCCTTAGAAGCCCTCCGCCGACCACTCCCACGGCCCCGGCCGGCCACCTTGCCGGCGACCTTCCCCACCCGTCCAATCCCTCCTTCCGCAAGTTTCAAATTTGAAATTTGAATTTCAAAATTCAAATTCTTTCCTAATTGGGATTTCCAATTTAGGAAAGTTTTCATGACGAATTCCAATTTCAATTTAATTTAAATTGGAGTCTTTAATTATATTGCCACGTCATCAATCCAAATTGGAAGCTTCATCCCACTACTCTCTCTCTCCCCCTCTCACCTTGCCGCCGGCCCTATGTGGGTTTTCTCCCCCATTTGATTGCTACTTTAATGCTCCAATTAATTCATTAATGACTCCTTAATTTGAAATCAAATTTCAAATTAGTTCCCTCCAAAATCACTCAAAATCTGAAATCAATTTCAGTTTTGAATTAAACCCCTCCTCTTTTATTTCTTTATTTCTTTCCCTTAATGATCTCTAATTAGCTCCGTAATTTGAATCCAATTAAATTCCTAATTGATTGGAATTCAGCCTAGTCATTCCTGATTAAGAGTTTGGGCAAGAATAGCATAGTTTTCCCGCAGCCATATGGCCGCCCCCTTCCCAGGCCTCTCCGCCCCTTCACATCCCGTCTCTTTGGAGGTTCCTGGTGGCTGTCCAAGATGCTACAGCCAACCAATCTTGCTGTCCTGATTCCCGAGAGGCCACTCATGATGTCCAAGACCACTCCAACTTAGCCAACTATTATCCCGTCGCCCAGGTTGCTGTTTGGACTGCTGTTGGAAGTCCTTGTGTGCCAAAACGAGGGTTCCAACCATCACCTGCTGCTGTCCACAAGTTCCCAGCTGCTGCCCATTTAGTTTGGTGGCCTATTCTTGCTGCCCTGCTGTCCAAGAAATCAAGGATCACCTTTCAACTACACTTGCTGTCCTGCTAGCCGAACACTCCTGTTTTACTGTCCAGAGAGTTCATGGCTGGTGTCTTGAATATTTCCGACGAGACAAACTGCTGTCCTGCACCCCCGGAACCCCCGTTTACTGTCCGGAAAAGTCACGGCTGCTGTTCAGGATTCCAGCAGTTTTCTGGTGTTGATTCGCCATCCGGAAGGCTCTCATTGGTTGCTCAGAAGATCCCACACTGCTGCCCACACGCAGGACGTCTTCAAATTCAGCCACCGGACTCCGGATCTTCCCCCTTGCTACTCAAATTCATCTAAGAATTTTGACGATGGTGAACTCTTCCCCAAGTTTCCTATTTTCCTAGTTTATTTTCAATTGTGGTTATATTTTGACTCACAAGGTTCATGTCAAGCTCTTCACCGCTAAAGCTTAGAGAACTAGAGAGTTGAGTGAGGGACTCATGCATAGTGTCTAATCTTATTGTTAGCATTGGAATTTCTCGTTGAAACCACTCATGTATGCAAAGTAAGATTTAGTTGACTATTTAATGAGCTCAACCTCTCGCATGTGTTTAAACCTAAGCTATTTTATCACCTTATCATTTTTTATTTTGTTGTTTATCATCAAAAGAAAGCTTATAATTATTGTGCTCTAAAATTTAAGCGTGCAAACTTTCTTAGTTTAATCATTCATGCTTGTACGTTTCACATCATAAAGCCTGCAAGTTTTTCAATAGCTCAAATCTTATAAGTGGTGAATTATAGAGTGCACTTGATTGAGTTCAAAACCATACATTATTTGAAGTTGACTTAATTTTTTCCCTTTTTTTGGAAAGTATTCACCTTAGGTCTATAAGGTCTCTTTGGATGATGCAACCTATTGCTACCGATAAGAATCTTTCAATTAGATTGGGTCAACTACTTCAATTAACTAAGTAGACTAGTGTTCACAAAAGCTGGGCAACAACAAAATGATCGAGTTCATCATTATTCACCTCACCACTTGCTTAATGCTAAAAGAGATAAAATTCCTATAATTTAAAAGCCAAATCACTGCTATTATAGACTAAGCACTTAGCGCTTACCAACAAGTTTAATTGAAAGTATTCTTTCATGATTGGTATGGGTAGTTAATTATAGTCATTTGCGCCTATTAAATTTTTTTAATCAGATCATAAAGATTTCATGAGATGATGAAATATTTTGATAGTTTCTTATTTGAAATCTAATATATTTTATGAAAATTTGACGATGAACCACAAACTCTCCCAGACGAGCCAGATGCCCACTTTAGGTGATCTTGGAAGTTCCAAATTATCAAGAGCTTTTCAACTCATCTTGGAGTGATAGTTTTGGGAATGCGGGAGCCTTGAGGTGACAGTGGTGGAATGCGGGAGCCTTGGAGTGAAAACATCAGGATTGCAAGAGCGTGACAATGTTTCTTTTTTGATCAAGTCCTTTATTGAAATATTTTGTTAAAATAAAAATCCTAAAAATGCAAAGCTTATTAAATTATTTGACATAAATCATAGTTATCATCATCATCACCGTGGAGTAAAATAGGTTAAGGTAAGGGTGAACTAATGCAATACAATAGTGTTTTAAGGCATTAAAGTTAAGATAATGGATTGAAGTTTAAATGACACGAGTAGAAAGAAAACTAAATAATGAATTAAAGATGAAGATAGATAAGAAGATTGATTAAAATAAAGAGAATGAACGATTAATAACCAATAATTTTACGTCTTGCATTTGTACAAGGAAATCACTTCCTAGACTATTTTCAATCTTCACACTTCGTCGAGAACATTGTGTACAAGGTAAGAGAATGTTATTCATTACTATTTTAATATAAGAATTCTAAAGATCCTTAGTTAAGTACTAGGATTCTCAATAAATAACCAACAAAATCTGTAAAAATTGATTGTCATAATCCTAACAATTTTAATTTTAACCAGCATATTGGATTACATAAAATGACTCAACCATGAAAAATGTAAAATTATAGTTTTTCCCCTCATCATGAAGCTTTGGAGAGGAAATGGAATCTTATAAAAAATGTTCTCACCATAAATTCCTATCCCATCAATTAAATGCAGATAAAAGGTTTTTTTTTTATTAATCCAGCGTCTCACTTTTAAAGCATACAAATTGGCTTGGAAACTATTCATTTGGTTCTCGATTTTGTGCTTCATTAAATTGAGTCTATTGTTCAAAGTGATGGTGAAATAGATGGAGATATTATTAGTAGAATTCAAGTTGGATGGTTGAAGTGGAGGAATGCATCGGGTTTGTTGTGTGATAGAAAAGTCCCTCTCAAACTTAAGGGAAAATTCTATAAGATGGTAGTGAGACCTGCAATGCTTTATGGTGTAGAATGCTGGCTATTAAAAGTGAAGCATAATATTAAGTTCAAGTGGATGAGTGGCTTTACTCTTAAAGATAGAATACTAAATGAGCATATTCGTGAAAAGGTTGGAGTAGCTCCAGTGGAAGATAAGATTAGAGAGAGTCGCCTTAGATGGTTTGGTCACATAAAATTGCTGCCCTTCAATGACCTTATTAGGAAAATAGATGCATTAGATTTGATTTATGTTAAGAAAGATGTTAAGAAAGATGGGGTAGACCTATCTTCTGTACTCACCAATATAGAGGAAGATTAGGTGAGGAAGGTAATAGTGAAGAGTAGTAAATTGGTAAGTAGCTTCCCTTGTGTATAGAAATCCCCTCCTATGCTGTTCAAGGTGATAGGGCTAAGTCGATTGCATGAATAAGCCTTGTCTTTGTTCTTGGCATGCTATTCTCTTGTCAGAGTGATGCCTGCCTTTTTGCTACTTCATTTTCCTATCATACGGAAACAAACCAGGGGAGACCGGTCTTGTCAGTCGTCCCTTCCCAAACAAGTTGCATTGTCTTTTTTTTTTTTCTTCCTTAATAATAGATAGCCTCAGCATTCTATAGAGGATTCATGACCTCTTCCTTAGTAAGAAGATGCCATCACTAGCTATTTTTTGAAACTAGAAACTCAAGAAGGATGGAAATTTTGAAGACTTGGCTATAGTCGTGGTGACATGAAAATTTGGTGTGGTTAGGTAATCAACCCAAGTTTTATTGGTTTGCATAAAAATTCTCCTATTTTTATTTTTTTCCTTAATTTTTGTGTTTAATTATATGTCCTGGTTCATCCTTTCATTCAGTTGTATTTTTTTTTTTTTAACAATGATATGTTTATGATTATGTTCATAATGACCTTGAATTTTATTGTTTTTACATTTTACCATGTATAATTTGTTTGGTTGATTCTGCTTTTAATATGTTCTCGTCTTTCTGAGCAGGGTTGTGGTTCCTACTATTCAGGGTTATGAAGATGCTGGAGATTTTACAGTGAAAGAAAGATTAAAAACAAGTATTCATGTCAATCTAGTCTTTTATTTGATTCTGGGAGTGGTCGGCTTTCTTGGACTCCTGCTACTTCTCATCATGCATAGAAGTTGGTTAGTGGCTTTGCATCTTCAATTTTAGTGACTTAAGCATGTTTGATTTTCTTTTTTTCTTTAGAAGATTTTCTATTTCTGGGATGCCAAAAATTGTTCGTGAGACTATGAGAGAACAGAACCATTAGACATTTCCGGTTGGAATATTATGAAGTCCGCAATGAAATGTCTGAAGATACCAATTCATGCACCTTTACATGTTTCATAAGCCTTATCTTTATGCTTTATTCAGTCTGTTGACATTCAGTATTTTGAAAGACAGAAAAATTATAACAATAGCAGTGCAAAGAAATTTACTTTAAAAAATAGTCTTAGTGATCAGTAGGGAATAGCATCAATAAAGATTGTACTCGCCCATTACTAGAGGTTGTGTTACTTCTCGAAGCTTAACCCAAGTATAGATTGTTTTCAAGGAAAGCAAATGTTCATGTATGATAAACAATAGGTGCTATGCAGTAACTACTTTTTCTTGAGTTATATTAAATCTTAGAGTGGGTTGATGTTCGATAGGAATCTGATTTTGACCAGCATGTACTGAGTGTTTATGCTTGCCTTGTTACATTGTTACTTTTTTTCTTCTTAATTTCAGTATAACTAGATGTTGTTATCAAAATAATAAGGCTTTTCTTTGCAGAGAATTTACTGCCTGCAAATCAGCTGTAATTTGCATTTCTGACTACTAAGGGAAGAAGTACAACAGTGTTCATGTTGTTATACGATTTGAACAACTTTTTTTGAACCCCAAAAAAAAAAAAATGTTGTTATTTATGCTTGTTTGGCTGTCATTAGTCAGGGGCAAAATCATCTTCAGAAACTTGTTATATGTTTAACCTTTAGGTACGTTGTAGAATTTACTTGGATATATTTATTACACTTCATCTGCTATTTTAATTACAACTGATTTCTTTGAATTAATTCTGCGTGCGTTGTAAGATTTTTCTGTACTTGTAAATTACACACACTGAATTCTCCAGATTTGGCCTTCTGATTGCTGATCATTTTATTGACAGGAATAGAAGTATTATGGGCTTAGCCATGGCTTGTTCAAATACATTTGGACTTGTGACTGGTGCATTTCTTCTTGGTTTTGGATTAAGTGAGATCCCAAAGAGTGTATGGAAGAATGCTGATTGGAACAATCGTCAAAAGATCCTTTCCCACAAGGTTGCAAAAATGGCCTTGAAATTAGATGATGCTCATCAAGAATTTTCAAATGCAATTGTGGTAAATATATACCATAATTTTCTTCTCTTGAATTTGATAAGCTTACAAGAGTGACTTATTGTGGTACATTATACTTGGTCATGGAAATTCTCCTCATCTCATGTTCTCTCTTAAGTTTGTATGGCCAACATATATTAGTGACTATACTTAAAGACGTATATTAAGTATGATGGGAGTTCTACTGCAGTATGTTTTTAACTGCGAAGCTGTGACCATGATCAAGGCTAATGGGGTTCAACAAAATCTTATGATTGTGAAAAGAAATCTACGATTTGCTTGATTAAAAACTATTTTCAAGCAAAGAATATCCCTATGCCGGCATGCGGGAAGGGCACGTGCAGCTGCAGCGGTCCCATCCGTCCCTCCCCACACAAATTTAGGAAAAAAAAAAAGCCGAGGAAAAAAGAAAAATTCACTGTATTTTCTTCCTCTCTTCTTACAGTGGTCCAATATTCTCTTTATATTCTTCTTCTTATGTCTTAATTATTGTACCAATGATTCTTAACAACCCTTACAAATTGTAGGGAACCTGATTATGATCGATCAAAGTGTTTATTCTTACATATCTTGTATATTGTCGCATGCATAGTGAGGTCGACACACTTTTCTCTTCTTAACAATGACGCTAATTACAAGTATTATTCTCCTCTTAACTATGACACTAATCTTAAGTACAATGCAAATTTTTTAGCATTCCATGACGAGCTACATTTTGGCGGCTGCCATGTGTAGAAGATATGAATTTTTTTCATATCTAAACAAAGAAGCACTGGATTGAGAGATGTAATATTATATAAATGTGATGGAGTTGTGAAAGAAAGAGGCAGGCATAATGTTGAAAGAAGTTTGGTATTAAGTAACGTTGACCAAACTTGGAAATCTAGGCAACTCTCTCCATGCCTATATTGACAGGACAAATACTAAATTAAGTGTTGTTTTTTATGTCAAACCAATCAAGAAATAAGATTTAGATCAGATTAATTATGCGATGAAGGTCTATCGAAAGTGATTATCCTTATCATCCCCATCATCATTAACTTTATCCAACCCCTTTGATGTTGAATTTATGAATCCTCTATTTGCTTTACTTCTGTCATTGCCACATTAAGGTGTTAATAATTTTATGATGCTTGGCAAGATAAGATTAAAAAAAAGTCTGCTGTTTAAAATTCTTGGCATGTTTTTTGTCTTCTCATCTTTTTTTTTGGGCAAAAATTTTGAATTTATAGCTAGTTGATTCTGTTTGTTTCCCTATAAGAACTGCTTTTTTTGTGCTTACTATTTAGAGTTGCATATCACATTATTTATGATTTGCATAACTAAAATGGTTTAATACTAAGGAGATATAAAGAATTTTGATTATTTGGAAAAATCTAAAGAGGTATGTAAGGAATCTAAGAAAGCAAAATGCGATGAAATGATCTTAGCTTTTAATGATTTATATAATAGATTAGATATTAAGAAAGGAGAAAGATACATGTATAAATTAGCCAAACAAAGAGATAGAAGTAGTAAGGATTTAGTTCAAGTGAAGTTTATTAAGGATGAAGATCAAAAAGTACTTTTCTTAGAAGATGGTATTCAACAAAGGTGGATGAGATATTTTGATAAACTTTTTAATAAAGAATGTGAAAATAGTAAAATACGATTGATTTTAGTGACCTTAGCACCCTAAATGAAATAAATATTTTTTTTGTCGGCGTATTAGTAAAATCGAAGTTAGAGAGGCTTTAAAGAAAATGAAGTGAGGAAATGTTGTTGGACTTGATGATATTCCAATAGAGGTGTGGAAATACTTAGGAGATGAAGGAATTTATTTGCTTATTAAACTTTTTAATACTATTTTGAAGACTAAAAAGATGCCAGATGAGTGGAGAATGAGTATGTTAATCAAGGTTTTGAAAACCGGACCGGACAACGAATCGGAACAAGGAGGGGTTCACGGTTCGACCGGTCTAACCGGGGTCGAACCGGATGACGTAATAAATAATAAGTATTATTTAAATTTAATACAATTAACATAAAAATAATGTTATCATTCAAA